CTTCTGGGAATTAGTGGGCAAGGAAGGGCTCAAGAGAACTAATCTCCCTGTTCTTCCAAGAAAGTCCAAACTTACAGTATCAGCCAGTATTCCTACCTGTAATCTTAGCTCCCCAGGAAGTTGAAATTATGGTTCAAGGCTAATCTAGGCAGAGATGTCCACAAGACTCCACCTCCAAAATAGCCACCAAAAAGCCAGGATTGGAGATGTGGCTCAGTGGTAAAGTTCCAGCTAACCACATAAGCGGAGCAAATACAAACCCCAGTATCTCTCCTCTCTCTCTCTCTCTCTCTCTCTCTCTCTCTCACACACACACACACACACACACAGTGTCAATGAAGTTTCCAATCATGCAAATATCTGCCAAGTACAAGGACAAGATAATGCCTTCTAGAACAGTCAAAGGAGGCCCTACAGGACGGACCATGTGCCTAGCAGTGGAAGGAGAAAAGGAAAGCCGAACAAGCTAGCCTTTACCTCATGTGTGTGTGCAGGCCTCGTCATGAGCACTAGGCATTGTAATGGGCACTAGGCTTTTACTTTCCTGAGTAAAAGTTAAATCTATGAAAAACTTCAATAGGCCAGGGCTGGGGAGGGTGGACCAAGAAGTAGAATGCTTACCTAGCAACTAGAAAGAAGTCCTGAAGTTCAGACCTGGTGGCTTATGCCTGTAACCGAGCTACTAAGAAGGCTGAAATCTGAGGATCATGGTTTGAAGCCAGCCTCAGTAGGAATGTCCATGAGACCCCAATTAACCACAAAAGCTAGTAGTGGAGCTGTGGCTCAAGTGGTAGAGCATTAGCATTGAGCACAAAAGCTCAGGGACAGCATCCAGCCCTAAATTCAAATCCTAGAACTGTCAAAAAAAAAATTATGGCTGGATAAGCATAAAGGAGCACACCTACTAAAGTTGTGGCAGGAAGGTCCAGAGTTCAGAGCAGCCTGGACTACATGTTGAGACCGTGCCTCAAAAACTAAGGCGGGGAGGGGTGTCCTGACTCCCTAAAGCCACATTTCATCATGTCACCACTACTTTCATATATCTTTCTTGGCTCATAAGTTTAGCATTTCTCTCCTTAAAAATGTTAAGATTCTAGTAAATATGGTTTCATGGTTTTATCACTGAAGCAGTGTTTCAACTAGAAAGGAAATCAGAATATCAGAACATCAGGTCCCAACATCTTCCTTGGTAGATTGACATCAAAAGAAGTTACCATCTATTTTTTTTTTGGGGGGGGGGAGGGAGGGTCGGTCGTGGGGCTTGAACTCTGGGCCTGGGCGCTGTCCCTCATTCTTCAGCCAAAGGCTAGCGCTCTACCACTTGAGCCACAGTGCCACTTCCAGCTTTTTCTGTTTATGTGGTGCTGAGGAATTGAACCCAGGGCCTCATGCATGCGAAGCAAGCACTCTACCACTGAGCCACATTCCCAGCATTAGGGCACTGTTCTTGAGCTTTTTTTTGTTCAAGGCAAGTGAGCTAACACTTGAGCCACAGCACCACTTCTGGCTTTTTCTGAGTAGTTTCTTAGAGATAAGAATCTCATTGCTGGGCACCAGTGGCTCAAACCTATAATCCTAGCTACTCAGGAGGCTAAGATCTAAGAATTGAGGTTCAAAGCCAGCCCAGGTAGGAAAGTCTGTGAAACTCTTATCTCCAATAAATCACCAGAAAAAGCAGAAGTGGCACTGTGGCTCAGGTGGTAGAGTGCTGGCCTTGAACTGAAGACCTGAGGGACAGCACCCATGCCCAGAGTTCAAGCCCCACCACTGGCCAAAAATAAAAGAATCTCATGAACTTTCCTGCCTGGACTGGCTTTGAATCAAGATCCTCAGATCTCAGCCTCCTAAGTAGCTTGGATTACAAGAATGAGCTACCAGCACCAGGCTAAGATCTCTACTCTTCCGTGGTGAATTCCAACCATACTTATACTTATCTAACACAAACCACTACTCTGCACATTGTGCCTTTCTCAGAACAAGTCTTCTTTCAGCCAAATAGCTCCTCAAAGGGCAGAAGAGTAACTTTTCATTTTTCTTCATCATTCCTGCACTAGCTCCTGTCTCAGTGGTTCAAACAAATTTCTATTGGGCTCTGGTGTCTCCCATCAAGAAGCACAGGGCCAAGGGGAAGGGGAAACAAAGGAGGTGACAAAAATGCTTGATAAGAAATGTACTCATTATCTTGCCCATGTAATTGTAACCCCTCTGTACAGTATTTTCACAGTTAAAAAAAGAAAAGAAAAAAAAAAAAAAGCACAGGGCTGAGATGTCCCAGATTTCTGCAGAGCCCACCTCTAGAAACAGATGTGTGCCTCGCTCATCCTAGCACACTAACTAGAATATTATGGGAACTCAGGGCACATTAACCGAACATTAATTAAATGAGAAAAAGACTCCCAAGTTCCAGTTAATGATCTGCTTATCTGAAGGAATACAGAATGTAAGAACTCCAACCTGACATCCCAAGCCAAGTCACCTGCTTTTTATGACATCCCTAGCTGCCAGCAAATTTCCACTAAAAAAAAAAATTAAATAAGTAAGTTAGAAACACCACCTTTTCCTTTCTAGGCTAGTTTGTCTCTCCTGATCCTTTCCTGGAAGAGAGAGAGAGAGAGAGAGAGAGAGAGTGTGTGTGTATGTGTGTGTGTGTTAATTCTGGGACTGGACACTGTCTCTGAGCTATTGTGCTCAAGGTTAACATTCTACCACTTGAGCCATGGCTCCACTTTGGCTTTTTGGTGTTTAACTGGAGATAAGTCTCAGGGACTGGGAATGTGGCTTAGTAGTACAGTGCTTGCCTAGCATGCATGAAACCCTGGATTCAATTCCTCAGTACCACATACACAGAAAATTGCAGAAGTGGCGCTGTGGCTCAAGTGGTAGAGTGCTTGCCTTGAGATGAAGAGCTGAGGGACAGCACCCAGGCCTAGAGTTCAAACCTCACAACTGACCAAAAGGAAAAAAAAAAAAAAAGCTCATAGAATTCACAAACTGTATAGATCATGATAATGACAATTTGCCTTGTGAAAGTTAAAGTGTGTTTATGACTCTAAGTTTCACTATTCCACCATATTGTGAAATATGTGAAATTTATGTAATCACCTAATCTCAATTAAAGAAAAAAAGTGAGATGGGTGACAATGTTGTCAGACACTCTGTACTCATATACTGTTTTGTAGAACGGGAACTTCTTTGTATAACTACTTAAAAATAATTTAAAATATAAATAAATAAAGGCTTTCCAGAATTAGATAGCATTTTGTATTTTTGTTAATTATGGATAGAAATTACATACATGTTTGCTTACATTTTTCTCTTCTGTTCAACTGAATGTGTCTTTCCACTGGGTACTCAGGAGCACTCTAATCCTCGCTCTAAAGCCCTCATGTCTACAGTCCTCCAAGTGCCCTCAGCTTTGGTTCCATTCCTCTTGCATAAGACTAAGCATGTCCAGGTACCAGTGGCTCACGCCTATAATCCTAGCCACTCAGGAGGCTGAGATCTGAGGATCACGGTTCAAAGCCAGCCCAGGCAGGAATGTCCGTGAGACACGTTATCTCCAGTTAACAACCAGAAAAACCAAAAGTGGCACTGTGGCCCAAGTGATAGAGCGCTTGCCTTGAGCTGAAGAGTCCAAGGATAGCACCTATGATTGACCAAAAAAAAGACTAAGCATGGGCTGGGAAGGTGGCTCAGTGGTAGAGCGCTTGCCTTGCATGCATGAGGCCCTGGGTCCAATTCCTCAGTACTACATAAGCAGAAAAAGGAAAAAGCTGGAAGTGGCGCTGTGGCTCAAGTGGTAGAGTGCTAGCTAGCCTTGAGCTGAATTGCTGAGGGACAGCGCCCAGGCCCAGAGTTCAGGCCCCACGACCGGACCCAAAAAAAAAAAAAGACTAAGCACCATTCCCCATTCAGGCTTAGATGCCTCTCCCTGGCCACCTTCCAAATGCCCTAGCCTCACCTCCTATCTCAAATTCTCTGGCCTCCTTTCTCACTGTAGCTCTCTTCTGTTTGCCATGGTATCCAAAATCAGTTATCATGGTCCGATGCCAGTGGCTCATGCCAGTAATCCTACCCAGAAAGTTGAGATTTGTGGTTCAAAGCCAGCCCAGGCAGAAAAGTCCATAAGACTCTTATCCACAATTAACCACAAAAAAGCCAAAAGTAAAGCTGACATTAAGTGACAGAGCAGCAGCCCTGTGCAAAAGCTAAGAGAACCCTAAGATCGAGGCCCAGGACTGGGGGAAAAAAATTAAGCATGCTGTGGTACACACACTTGTCATTACAGCTGCTTGGCAGATAAAGGCAGGATTGGGTGTTCAAGGGGTAGCCCCAAGAAAGTGAGGAGCTGTCTCCAAAACAAAATGCAAAAAACTGGGAGGGGAGGGGAAGGGAGTGTGGTTCAAGTGGTAGAGTGTTGTCCACCTAAGCCTGGGTACAATAGCTGAATCTGAAAAAAATTAAAAAATACAGTAATTTTTCTTTCTCTCTGAAGAATGTAAGGGGTCCTGGTTCTAAAGAATCGACAGCGTGGGCCTTGGTCATGAGACTTCTCCTCTGTTACTAGTGCTGGGATTGACCATGCAGAGAAATTGAGCTATTGCATAACATTTGATGGGTTAGATCACTTGCTGTTTGGAGAGCCTTGCAAGACAAGATGAGAAAACAGAGCTGGGCAAATTTAGTGCAATTTCCTTTGTGTGCTGGAGCTACCTCAGGCTTGCAACACCACACTGACACCTTTATCTTTCTTGAAGTATAGCTTCAGTATCCTAAAAAAAGGATTTTAAAGGAATTATAACTCATTTTCATCTTTTGGCTCATTAGCATATTTATCCTGACAATACCCTAGAAACACCTTCTTGATTTGCACACTGGAAAAAAAATGTAAGGGCTTGTAGCAGAGGTGTTTAGAAAAAAATTCAAACACAAAGAAAACAAGCTGCAGCTTGGATGCTTCCGTTAAACAGAAGGACTGCCTTCAAAGCACAAACAGGAGCATGGAGATTTTGGTGGTACTGGCAGAAGCAAGTGACCACTACTGGCGGCTGGTTCTAGTGGAGTGTCTCTGCAGTCTTCCGAGTGAGGCCATCTTACTAATTCCAAAAAGACTGGAGAGCATCCAAGAAAAACAAATGGTCTTCACTCCCCTCACAGAAAAATTCACATGAATGTCTTTTTAAAAAAAAAAAGGCTAAAATTCTCCCCGGCCAGCTCTGCTTCCCTGGCTTCGGCATGGTGACAGCTGAACAGACGCATCTGGGTAAGACACCTTGCGTCTTAAACCTTATCTGAGATTCAGTCTGATTTTACCCAGCCATGGAAGACCCGAGGCTTGGTGGTTTCTACCATGAGCACCTACTCATCGAGCATTCCCCAGCTTTCACACGAATAACGTTTATTTCGCTTTGCCCAAACAATTCTCACCTTTAAAAGTCATTCTTAAATTTCTGAATGTCACTACACAGAGCGAAGAAAAATGTTTCCTCTCTTTGAAATAGAGGCTGGCTGTCCAGTTTTTTGCCAGACACCCTGCCTAGGATGCGGTCTTTTCAACAGGCCATTTTCCAACACTAGGTGATTTTCTTTTAAGCCCACCTGATGGTCTACCTGCACATCTCTTCAAACAAGGATTTTACAGACACCTACAAGATGACGGCAAACAGCCTGTCCAAAGGCTTCCCCAGCGCGTGCTCACAGAGGACGAACAAAGCATGGCTCCTCCACGGTTGTGTGCTGTGAATGCAAATGAAGCCAAACCGCTACGAGGCTCCTCGATGCGGCCTTATGACTCCACAGAAATAAATAGATCGATAGCATATGGACACGCGCGCGCGTGCACACGCACACGCACACGCGCGGCGCTAGCTCATCTGAACACGGATCCGGGCTCCGTGCAGAAAACGGGAGGTGCACTGGGGTCCGCGCCCCAGCCGGCGGCAGCCGGGGCCCGCGCCCGCACTTCGCCCAGTGCCATTGGGTGGCAGCTTCCGACGGAAGGCTTTCACAGCTCCCCGCGAGGGTCCGAGCCGAGGCCGGTCCCCACGCGCGGGGCGGCGGGGGGCGGGGCGGCGGGCCGCACGGGAAGACCGCGGCGCCCGGGGCGCGGTGCCCCGCCGCCCCCGAGCCCACCCCGACCTCGGGGGCGCCCGAAGGTGACCGGCGCGGGCCCCGGCCTCGGCCTGCGGCCGGGCCCCGCCGTTCGCCCGCAGAGCGATGACTCAGGAGAAACTTTTCAGAATCGCCTCAAAACCCACCGCGGGGGCGGCGCGCGCCGGGCGGACGCCAGACCCGGGCCCGCGTCCCCGCGCCGCGGGCGCCACGCCGGGGCCCGGCGGAGGCCTCGGCGCCCGGTCCCCGCCCCGCCGCGGCCCCCGGGCCCCGCCCCGCCGCGGCCCCCGGGCCCCGCGCCCCGCGCCCGCAGCCGGCCTTCCGCACAAAGTTTCTAAAGTTGAAGCGAATGCCCGCGCGGGCGAGCCGGGCGCCGGGCAGGCCGGACCCGAGGGGCGCCGGGCCAGCGCCGCCCCCGCCGCCGCCGAGGGCGCGGGGAGCCTGGCCGCGACCGAGCACGGGCGCCCGGGCCCACCCGCCGCGTCCCGGCCGCCCGCCCGCGCGGCCCTTACCCCGCGGTCCGCCCGCTCGGCCGGCTCAGGGGCGCCCGGCGCATCCTCCGCCGCCATCCGCAGAGTCCAGCTCCCCGGGCATCCCCATGTCGGGGGGCGGGGAAGGGCCGGCGGCCGCCGCCGCCGCCGCCGCCGCCGCCGCCGGCTGGAAAGTCCCTGCTGGGCTGCAACCCGGCTCGCGCACGCGGCGGCCGCCGCGCCGCGCCGCCTCACGCACCCCGGCGCTGGCACTTCCTCCCGCCTGCTGGAAATCCCCGCCGGCCGCCGGCGCGCGCCCGGCGCGCCGCCGCCCCGCCCCGCCCCCGCCCCGGCGCGCGCGCGCCTGAGCCCCGGGAGCCCGAGCGCGGGCCACGCGCCGCCCCGCCCCCGAGCGCGCGCCCGCGGCTGTTGCTAAGGGCCCCGGGCTCCGCGCTCGCCGCCGGCCTTAACGACGGCTCCGCGGGCGCGCGCGGAGCCCCGGGGCCCTCGCGCCCTCCCCCGCCGTCCCGATCAAAAAGCCACGAAGGCCGCGTGGACCCCCGCTCCCGTGGACACGCGCGCGCGCACTCCGGCTGGCGACGCCTGCCCCCGGGAGCGCGCGCCGCGCGGGGACTCATGTGCGCGCGGCTCCCCCCGTGCCGACCCCGCGGGCTCCGTCCCGCCGCACCCCGGCGTGCGAGCGCCGGCTGCACCCGGCTCCGCCGGGGCCGGCCCGCGCGGGGCCCGGGCTGGGCTGCCGCCTGGCCCCGCTCTCTCTTGAGGGGGCTCGAAGGGCTCCTGGGTCCGGTCCGGATCGGCCCAACTGTGGCAAGATCCCGGGGCTCCCAGCCGGCCCGGCCCCCGGAGACCCCGCCTCCCGGGCACCCCTGTCTGCTCCAAGGTTACCCTGTGGCCCGGGGTCCCGCTCCCCGCGGGCAGCGGGGACCCCTGAGGACACGGCACGCGCGCACCCCGCCAGCCCGCAGGGTGGGGCCCACCCCTGGGCGGCGGCGGCCCGGCCGGACCCGGCCACCGGGGGTTCACAGGTCAGTTGAGGAGACCAGGTGGACTTCAGAGGCCAGGGTGCGCGGGCTGGAGCCGAGGCCGGGCCCGCTCACGCCGGTCCGCCTTCTCGTGCATGAGTCTGGAGACAGCAACTCCGGCACCTCCCGTGCGACTTCGCTCCGTGGAATGTTCCAGAACCTTAGCTGATCGGACCCGCATCTCGGGCTGTATTAGCCCAACAGGTGCCCGTTCCGCAGCCCGGGGCCAGGGGCCTGGCGGGCCGGGCTCAGTCGGGCCTGCGGCGCCCCCCTCTGGGCACGGCCGAGGTGACAGGCCAGCCTCCGCCGCCGGGCCACGTGGGCTCCGGGGCTGGGATCGAACCCGAGTCCTCAGGGGCGCTCTTTCCTTCCCCCACCCCCCCCCGACCCCGGGACTGACCCCTGCCGCCTGTTGAGACGTCGTGATGACCCTGCCCCCGAGACCGGGGCCGAGCCGCCGTCCCACGGCCCCGGCCCCTCCGCCCAGGCCCCGGCCCGGCCCCGGTCCCGCCACGCGGGGGCCCAGGCGCCCGCCCCCGTGCACCTGCCGCCCTGCGCGGGACATACCGGGGAACAACCCAACTCAGGAAGACTCCCCACGCCGGGACGGACGGTTTGGGGCTCTTTACAAATGGACCACGGGGAAGAAGGTGCAAAGACGCCGCCACCGGCCCGGAAAGGCGCCTTTCATTTTCTGCCAAAGCGCCAGCTCGAGAGCCTCGTTCGGGAGCAGATTAGGCGCATCCGGTCGAGCCATCTGCCGCGCGGCCGGCGCCGGCCCCCGCCCGCCCGGCTCCCGCCGGGGCCCGGGCCCCGGCCGCCCCCGCCAGCCCCTTCCTCCTCTCCGCCGGCTGAGCCGTGCGGCCCTGGGGGGGCCGCGGAGAGGAAGCTCGCCCCCCGCCCGGCCAGGGCTTTGAGGGCGGGCCCCCTAGCCGCCGCAGGTCTAGTGGCTGGGCAGCCGTGATGGACGGCAAGACGAGCCAATCAGCGCGCTCTCCTCCGGGCATTTCAAAGACAGAGCTCTCCCTTCGCTATGGCAACGCGGAACAACACGCTGACTGGGTTTCTGGACAAAGACATTTCTCGCAGGAATGTACGTAGCGTGACATGTTCCTTCTGCTGCGTCTTGCGGAGACCTGCATGCAGATGTGGGGGTGACTCACCAAATGCAGCAGTCCACGCAGCCAATCCTGTTCTTCCGAGAGGAGGAGGAAGTACTGCGGGGCAGGCGGCAGCCCTGGCCTGGCAGGCCGGGCCCGCGCTCCAGCGCACGCGGGGCTGAGCGACCCGGCAGCACCGCCGGGGACCCCGCGTCCTTCAGCCCACAGTGCTCCCCAGCCTGTTCAGCACACGTTACCCATGCGCACACCTTTCTACAGAACTTAATCCCAAACATGCGGTGTTCCCTGATACTTCCTACGGTTTCCGTCGTCCTTCTGGATGCCAGGTCTCGCTCTGCAGCCCCGACGGGCCTTGAACTGGAATCCTCCTGGGTGCTGGGGTTACCGGCCTGTACCACCACGCCTAGCTTGTGTCTTTGCTATTTTTATTGTTCTAACGAGGTTCCTTTCATAGTGTCATCCCTTCCCTGCTCTCCCAGTCCCTCCTTCCCATTTCTACCCCAAAGTTTTGTTCGTTTTTGTTTTTTGTCGATCTACCACTTGAGCCACAGCACCACTTCTGGCTTTTTCTGCTTATGTGGTGCTGAGGAATCGAACCCAGAGCCTCAGGCATGCAAGGCAAGCGCTCTACCACTGAGCCACCTTCCCAGCCCTTGTTTGTTTGTATTTTTTCGGTCATAGCTTGAACTCTGGGCCTGGGCGCTGTCCCTCAGCTCTTCCGCTCAAGGTGAGCACTCTACCGCTTAAGCCACAGCACCACTTCTGGTTTTCGAGTGGTTTATTGGAGATAAGAGTCTCATGGAGTTTCCTGCCCAGGCTGGCTTTGAACCATGATTCTCAGATCTCAGCCTCCTCAGTAGCTGGGATTACAGGCGTGAGCCGCCGCCCGGCTGTCTACTCTAGAGTCTCATACTTCACTTTCAACAGTGTCCAGCTGCACTTTTCCACCCTTTTCCCTTGAGTTCTGTGCCACCCACAACCCTCCCAACAACAGACAAACTAGACAGAAGAGAAGATAGAAACAAGAACAGAAAAGAGATCCCATTTCCCTTCCTTAAGAGTTCATTTTGCTATATATGCTATATAATCATAGGCATTGTCCTTTTGTGAGGATTGTTAAGGTTTGTCCTGCTATTATAAAGATGATGTACAGAGGCTGACAGTGACATAAGTTGGGGAAGAGTACATTTCATTGTGGACAACATCACCCATTCCCTGCACCTTTGTGTTCTCACCTAAGAGTATCCTCCTTTAGTTTCACTGTGAGTGCCTTGAATCCTATGTAACTTATCACATCCGGGTGTATTTTAGATCTGGCTTCCACATATGAGTGAAAACAGGCACCATTTGTCCCTCTGAGCTTGGTTTACTTCACTTAGCATGATTTGTTCTATGTCCATTGATATGATTTTTTTTCTGCCAGTCCTGGGGCTTGAACTCAGAGCCCGAGTACTGTCCTTGAGCTTCTCTTTTGCTCAAAGCGAGAACTCTACCACTTGAGCCACAGCACCACTTCCGGGTTTTTTTGGTGGTTTACTGGAGATAGTCTCGTGAACTTTCCTGCCTGGGCTGGCTTTGAACTGTGATCCTGAGATCTCAGCCTCCTGAGTAGCTAGGTTATAGGTGTGAGCCACCGTTGCCTGGCTTGTGAACTCATCTCCAGTTAACCACCAAGAAGGCAGAAGTGGAGCTGTGGCTCAAGTGGTCAAGTGCTAGCCTTGAGAGGAAAGAGCTGAGGAACAGCACCCAGGCCCTGAGTTCAACCCCCGGTACTGGGACAAAAATTAATGATATTATGGTAAAACACTAGGAGACATACAGCCAGAGAATTCAAGACCAAAAATCAAAAAAGCAGAAGTTAACTTGTGACTACCGTGAGATGCTAGGATGCCGGTGCCTGCGGCCTGGGTTTCCCCTGTTGCAGAGCGGAAATGCACCGCCACCCCAGGAGCTGCAGGAAATGCACTGCCACCCCAGGAGCTGCAGGAAATGCACCGCCACCCCAGGAGCTCCAGGGGAGCCCTTACCCGTGAGGACCAGGGGCTTCCCAGATCCCTGAGGGACTGTGACACCCAGCAGAGAGGCACCGTGGCACTCACTTGCTGCCCCGTGACCACGGCCCCCTTCAGACATGCAAGCCATTGCTGGAGCTAAAATTGCACTTGCCCTAAAGCGACTGAAATAACACAACGGGGTCTGACCCATTCTGCACCCTCGCAGGGGCCACTTTTGCCATGGTCCACCGGGCGAACATGGCTATATACTCACCGAAAATCATTTCCCAAGCAACCGTGGGGCCTAGGACCTCCAAGGCAGATAGGAGGCAGCGTCAGAGCTGCGTCCACCCCACGGCCTCAGCACAGCCTTCTGTCCATGGTCCCTCCACGCTCCCTCCACCCTGCCGGCTGCCCCCAACCCTAGGTTGTCAGGGAGTGCATTGGGTGTGGCCAGCATCTTATTTTAAAAAATAAATGTGCAATTGAATTCTTCAGGCAGCTGGCCTGTAATTCTTTTTTTTTTTTTTTTTTTTGTTTTTGTTTTTGTTTTTTTTTTTTTTTGGATCCGGTTGTGGGGCCTGAGCTCTGGGCCTGGGCGCTGTCCCTCAGCTCTTCAGCTCAAGGCTAGCGCTCTACCACTTGAGCCACAGCGCCACTTCCGGCTTTTTTTCTTTTTGCTTATGTGGTGCTGGGGAATCAAACCCAGGGCCTCATGCATTGCAAGGCAAGCGCTCTACCACTGAGCCACCTTCCCAGCCCTGGCCTGTAATTCTTTACCTACTTAGGAGGCTGAGATCTGAGGATCGAGGCTCAAAGCCAGCCCAGACAGGAAAGTCTGGGAGACTCTTATCTCCAATAACCACCAGAAAACCAGAAGTGGTGCTCTGGCTCAAACGATAGAGTGCTAGCCTTCAGCTGAAGAGCTCATGGACAGCACCCAGGCCCAGAGTTAAAAATAAAAAAGCAATGATGGGCTGGGAATGTGGCTCAGTGGTAGAGTCTTGCCTAGCATGGGTTCCATTCCTCAGTACCACATACACAGAAAAAGCTGGAAGTGGGGCTGTGGCTCAAGTGGTAGAGTGCTAGCCGTGAGCAAAAGAAGCTCAGAGACAGCGCCCAGGCCCTGAGTTCAGGACTGGCAAAAAAAAAAAAGCAGTGATGGTGGCGTCGGGCAGGAGTCAGGAGCGCCTGCTGGCTGCTGCCTCTCTGTTTTAATTCTTCTTTTTTCACCCTGTGAAGTGGCAGGGAGCAGGAAGGCCGGGCCAGGGCTGCACTCGGGTCTACAGGACATGGGGGCACCTGCCCCATGGGCAGTCACAGGAAATGGCTTTTCCTCCCTCCCTGTTTCTTTTTGAGTGTTTGGCAAATGAAAAAATTTCCCCTGCAGACGGTTAAGGAACCAAAATTGGGGGTTCTCGCTTTGCTTTGGGGGTTTTGCTCTTCAGAGGCCTCGTTCGGTGCCACGGGGGTCCCTAGAACCAAGACTGAGCAGCCACAGAGGAGGCTGAGGTCTGGGACCGCCTCCTGAGCGCCTCTGAGTGCCCTCGGATGCCCAGACGCAGGTGCTTCCAGTGGGGGGTGCACTGTGACTTTTGGCTTCCCCAGAGACAGCAAAAGCTAGAACAAGGTGAAGGGAAAACACCCTGTGCACCCACAGCCTAGATTCCATTTTCTTCCTTCTGCGTTTAAGGACAATTCAGATTTATTTTAGCTGGGTATAGCAGCTCACATCTTTTAATCTTAGCTATAAGGGAGGCAGAGATCTGGAGGATTGATGTTTGAGGTCAACCCAGACAACAATTAGTGAGACCCCCCATTACTCCCCACCATCCCAGCCACATAAGAGCTAGACATAGTGGTATACACCTGCATTCCAGCTGTTCAGAAAGTACAACAAGGAAGATGCAGTGCAGGATAACCTGGGGGATAAATATTAGTAAAATAATGAAAACACAAAAAGCCCCAAGGGCATGGCTCAAGTGACAGAGCACCTGTCTAGTACACACAAGCCCTGAGTTCAAATCTCCACTTTTTTTTTTTTTTTTGGTCAGTCGTAAGGCCTGAGCGCTGTCCCTCAGCTCTTCAGCTCAAGGCTAGCACTCTACCACTTGAGCCACAGCGCCACTTCCAGCTTTTTCTGTTTATGTGGTGCTGAGGAATTGAACCCAGGGCCTTATACATGCAAGGCAAGCGCTCTACCACTGAGCCACCTTCCCAGCCCCTCCATATCATTTTTTTAAATTGCCCTAAGATCTATCCAAAATAACACCGGCCCTGTGTCTTAGGAATGTTCTGTCACTGATTCCAATACCCCTGACTTCAGAAGGACCAAGTCTGTCATGAGCCTGTGTGTCACGTCTGTAACGTAAACCCTGCAGTGCTGCCCGCTGGGTCGGGGTGTCCCAGGTGAACCCAGGAAGGCTGAGCCACGGCCACCCCTGCCGGCACCCCATCCTCCTTCCCGCCCCCACCTTCACAGTCAACTCCTAAAACCCTTCATAAGCAGCTAGGACCTGGCAGCGTCTCCTAGCTATTTTCACAAGGCACTGGGATCATTTCTAAATTGCTAGAATTTTCCTAAAGCCATTCCTTGCTGCCTACTGCCACCAACTATGCCCTCACCATCTTCCCCACACACACACACTGCCGCCTTCCCACCATCTCCCCTCCACCCTCCATCTCTGCTCAGTGGCAGTGTGTCATTCTCCTGGAGGAGGAGCAGGCAGCCCAGCAGTAGACCCTCCTGCCCCCGCTAAGTCGCACCTCATGTCTGGAGAGCTGGACATAGGTAGCCTTGTCCGTCCTGACCCTGGTCCCTTCTCCTGGCCCTGGAACATTCTCCTGCT